CATGACAGGTTTGAAAACCCGCCGAGAATCGTACCATTGTCGGCGGGTTAGTGGTGTGATCGGGAGACAAATGCCGCACGGGCCGGCGTGCGCAAGCGCACACTGCCCGTGGGGCATTGGAATCATCGGAAGCCCTTTCCTCAGCAAGTACGAACTGGCTGTCCAAGATGGGCAGATCGTACGAGATTTTAATTACTTTACAACCATCGTAAGACAAAATTAGTGCGATGGTTGTAAAGTGTATGGCCATCTTCAGAATTCTCTAGAGACCCAGATCCGAGTTATATTCCAGAAAACCCGGAAAGAACTGGACACCCAGCTCCTTCCCTGTCACACTATCAGGGTTAGTCACAAAAGGGTGAAGAGTTAGGAGAAGTGAACAAGCTAGGCCAAAATAGCCGATTTGCAAAGATTCTCCAATTCAGCTCACTTTCAAGTTCAGCTATGTTGTACTAGAATCTAAACTCTTCACCCTTCTGTGAATAACCCTGTATATTGTTTCTGGACCCTCTAAGCCCCTATGGCCGAGAGTCCTGGGCGCCAAACACAGCAATCACCATAGTGTCACGGCACTGTTCTGTCACAGTAGGTATAAACATCATCCACACAATTATGAGAGTTCACCGATTCAGATGAATTTGGATTTTTCTGTTAGGAAATAATCTGGTGGAAGCGGTTATGCATTAAGGAATTTCTTTCTTTCATTGGAATGTTTACAATTCTTCAGGACCTTGCAAATGTTTTCCTTTTGCCGCAGAGTGATAAGGGGACATTGCAGCGACCAGCATTTTTTACACACACAACTTTCCAAGATGGATGAATGAGGGCCCGTCAGTTTGTATGTGAGTGGATATGACAACGTTGTCAATCTTTTCGCAGGTGAATAAGGACATGGTGAAATAGATCCTTCATTAATGTATATTTAATAGGAATGCATCGATATATCGGCCAAAGGTGCCATTTTTGTGCCGATACATTGGCGCATCCGTGCTTTCTTTCCTCCCCGCTGGGCGCTGCTCTGTGCCCCAGCGAGGAGGAGAGAAAGTGTGACAGCCGGCCGGGCGCTGCGGGAGGAGAGAGAGCGCTGTGAGTGGCCGGCGTCTCTCTTCCCACACCGCTCAGCCTCCTATCACACTCCGGCAGAACAGTGTGGGGGCGTTAACAGCCCGCGCTGTCACTGGAGGCTGAGCTCTCCTCCCGCACCACTCCGCTCAGCCTCCTGTTACAGCTGTCAGGATGGAGAGCGGTACAAGTGATCAGTGATCGCTGAGTGTTTGTAAACAATTGAGGACAGGGTATGGTTACTATATCCTCAATTATGAATGCATGGGGATCTACATCACTTCCTGTTCATTCATGATTGTGGTTATAGTAAACACACTCTGTCGTCATGTTATGAATGAACAGGAACACTCGGTATAGAGCAGCAGTGGCAAACCTATGGCACGCGTGACAGAGTGGGCACGCTGGGCCCCCTGTGCTGGCACGCGAGCCCAGGTCCACATTACCAAAGAGACGCAGCTCCAGCTATAGCGGTGAAACACAGCACCGACCATTCCCAGCACACAGCCACCGCTCGGCCCACAACAAGCTAGGATGAGGAGAAGCAGAACCCGGGCTGCCCCGATTGGCTGAGCGGTGTCAGCTGCGTGTGCAGCACTGGCGGAACTACCAGCGGTCGCAATTGCGACCGGGCCCTGTCGTTCCGCCACTTGGGGGGGCCCAGCAAGGAAGTAGAGGGCCCCCCCCACGATCGTGCCGCTCCTTCTTTGTCGCACAGCCACCCGTAGCATGTACGGGCGGCTGTGCGAAAGGGCTGGAGACGCTGTCACTGATCCCGGAGAAGGAGCTGGTCCCGACTCTTAGGGGCGGAGCTAAGAGGGCTGTCTCTTAGCTCCGCCCCCAGCAGATTCGCTAAGCGTCCTGTCAGTCAATAGTAAGGAAGCAGTATAGGATAGTATAGGCCCACACAGCCCCCCTGAGAGCCCACACAGCCCCCTTGAGAGCCCACACAGTCCCCCTGGGAGCCCATACAAACCACCTGAAAGCCCTTTTAGACCACCCTAGAGCCACACAGCCCCCCTGAGAGCCCACACAGCTTCCCAGAGAGCCCAAACAGACCACCTGAGAGTCCACCTGAAAACCCTTATA